GTGAGATCCTTACTGGCAGTCAGAGTCAAGCCTCCGTCTTCCCTTTCGAGCCGAGGTTTTGCACAGCTCTGCCCAGGCCGTCCGCCTTCGCTACCTCTTCCTCCTTCTCTCCTGTGCAAAGTGTCAGTGTTATTTGTTCTTCTTCCCTTTCTGGGGCTTCCTCAAATCGCTGTGTTCTGCTCTGCCTGGAAGGACACTTCCGTTGTTAAATATCTTCACCGTCTATAGCCTGCTCTGCAAAGGCTCCTTGTTACTTTGTTTGCTCCACAGCAAAGGGCTCCTGTCAGGTCTGTCCTGTTTGAGTGTAGGAGCCTCACTGAGAAGCTACCGAGGGCGATTTCTGTCAATCCAGAACACTTCATGACTCAACGAGCAGGCTTTCTTCAAGGTGATAGACTTCTTCCATAAATTGCATCATGTGAATGTTCTGAGCACGAGGGATGACACCAGCCAGTACGCTGGGACTCAGTCCTGTGCTGGTATCTCGCTGTGCCCTCCAAACCCTGGACAGTGGTCTTGTTCTTGACGTATTACCTCAAAGGTGTTGTTTGTTTCTCTTGTTTAATTCTGTCCCACATCAATTTTCTGCAACTGTTAATTTCTCCAAACTGTTGTATAACCCTGGCCAGTCAGATGACCCGCAGTATGCTGGCCTTTTCATGAGCTGTCTTGATATTTTCAGCGAGTTGTGCAACTGTATTGTTATTGTACCAAAGAAACCAGTCTTTGAAAACCTGAGCTGCTCTTTTGTGCTTAAAAAAAAATAACAAAAGAAAAAACACCACATATTCAATAACCACATCAAACTGTCTATAGAATACTCTCTCTATATATAAACATTTTCTAAAAACTCTAAAAATCCTTGCTGGAAATAGTAACTTGCAAGCTTCAATGTAAATTAAGACAACTCCACTGAAAAAGCTAGCAGCTTTCCAAAATGCAGCTCCATAGCAAAGGGCTCCTGTCAGGTCTGTCCTGTTTGAGTACAGGTGCCTCACTGAGAAGCTACCGAGGGCGATTTCTGTCAATCCAGAGCACTTCATGACTAACTGTGCCGTCAGACACGACTTGTGTTTTTTTCTGAGCACAGTGTTACAGTTGTGCTTAATAATGCAAGGAGGACAATTCTAAAAGGTTCTTCTTGCATAATAATAGGTGCAGTCCAGATACCATGTATGAATTTACTTTAACACAGGAAGAAAACCACAGCAGTCATACCTAAACTAGAGTGATACAGGACATCCTTAAGTGGTTACAATGTACTCTGGAAGAAGATTCTATCTTTAAATAAATATTTGCAGAACTGACTCTTCACAGGGTTGATACCAGTCCTTCAGCCTCCCTATATTAATCCAGAACACATTCCTTGTGGGCCAGGGTTCACCAAATGGAAATGGCCTTTACCTAACCAACAAATACAAAATTTATCCGTGCATCTTTCTCCCATAAAATAACAACTGAAGAGCCTGATCTCTGTGCATTCACGTGATAGAATGCAGTAGGCTTTATCTGTCACTCCAAATGCCCCTGTGGAAATTCAGTGTTAAGCTGCAAAAGTCACTGTGTATTAGAATAAAACTGCACAGGTAACTGGTAAAGGACGGACATTCTTGGTTACTGGTAGAAGGGTACGTCTCACATCCAAAGCTTGCTTTCTGACCTGCCAGTCCAAATGATACCAGTAAAATACTTAAAAGATTCTGGGGGGTAACATCCATAACCTTACTGAATAGTAAAAGCTAGGTACTGTGTCCTGTTGCTGTGTTACCATGCACTGCCAAACCCAAACATCATCATTACCTCATTTTTCTGTCCTTCATCCCCGGTTGGCTTGTCTTTGCTTCTGTTGCCACTTTGTCGTAGTCCTGGTTTTATAAGTTCCATTGATCTGCCTCATATTTTCTTTATTTTCATCTCACAGCCTACAAAACAGATTTACTCTAAAAAATGAAGTTTCCAAACTACATTATTTTGTTTGACATAATTTTGTGGGTAACAGAGTAAGCTATGTAAAACTAATACTATACAGTTTACTCTGACCTTTTTTCTGTCAGTAAAACAGAACGACCTTCAGCGTCACTGAAGTGTCTTCATATCTGCTTGCTGAACACCTTGTACTCCTCCCTTGAGCCAGTTATCACAGTGACAGCTCTTCTTTGAATGAGGAGATACAACAAGTGCTTGCTGTTTCCTATTTCTTCAATCACTCAACAGTTTAAAACAAACAAAAAAGAGCAACAGCTTGGCATCTCTGCTGTTTTCTACTTGGTCTGGTGCTATAATCAAAGTGAGAGTTTCAATTAGGGAACCTTATTTTGTATGTGATTTGTGATTAAATTAATAAAGACAGGTATATTGCTTAAAGGGAAAATTAAAAGTGACACCTGGATTATATAAGCTTTCATCTTCAGGACTGCATTGCTCCAATATATTATTGACACTTTGTCTAATGTTTAAGTAGTTTAGTAGTCTTCAGCTTGGTTTGTGTACTAGTATTTGCTTTTAGTTCAGTTAAGGCTGTTGGAGGCAATGACAGTGAGGCTTGTGCTAGTTTGAATGAAGAAGAGCTGAAGGTAGCTCCAAGCCAGGAAGGCTGTACCACTAGGCAGAGACATACGGGATTTTTAGCCATACAGTCCTCTTCTTTTGGTTAATATTTATATATGCAGTTCATATGTCCAGTTCCATCCATAAATGAGAAATTGTCTGGACTAGGGGAGACTGAGCTGCTGTGCAGCACTGTGCTTATAAGCAATGCTTTTGACCATCTCCAGCTGCCTTATGGGCCAGCTTTTCCTGACAGGAGATGACCTGGCTTTTGTTGGATTTGTCCCTGCCACTTCACAGCTTGAATACACCAAAGCAGCCAGCCTGTTAATAAGGTCACTCATTCTTAGGAAGTTTTAGCTGGTAAATAATATGCTTATGAGATGGTCTATGGCATGGATCACATAAGTTTGCAGCAGGAAGTCTTTCTTTCCCTTCCTGCTCTGGCTTCTTATAGTTTCTGTAGCTTCAAGTTGAAGATCTGAGTCCTTTATCTTTCACATGCTTGCTAGCCTGAGTGTAACACAAGGGAGAGCTCACAAACAAATCTTGAGTAAGAACCGCAGGCTGCAGGTTGGACACAACAGCAAGGATAAAGCTTGTTTGGGCAGCGTGTGGAGCTCTCCCAGGACTGCTCTGGGGCACTGCAGTGAAGGTGCAGAGAAGAGTTTGCTTCAGGTGGTGGCAGGTATACGTTTTTTGTACGCTGAATTCTTCATGGTAAATGCACAGCTGTATTTACACTTCAAGTCAAAGCTGAAACAAAGCTTCCCACATGTGTGTGGATGAGGTAAGAGGCATCAAACCATGTGTGACAGATGTTAGAAATATTGCTTACAGCAGCGCACTGCTGGGAGGCTCTCTGCTCTCTTCATCGTGGAAGCAATACAGCAAGCTCAGTAGAACGGAACTAAAACTCACGCAGCTTCAGGATTTTCAGTACAGTGTCTTTTTGCCTTTAAGGGCATTATCTGCTGGTAGTTTTGTAGCAACCCTGTGGATGGTTGCTTTAAGTGCGTGGTTGGCTGTTGGAAAATTATGCTGTATAAATGGCATTGTTTGTTGTGGTTCAGTGGTTTTCATATCAAGTTTCTTCCGTTTTCAATTGAGATGTTTTTTTTCCTAGCTTTTAGCCTTCCAAGCTTGGCATGCCTTTTCAGAACCAAGCTATGTTCTTGGCTCAAGAAATCTCTTTGCAGATCAAAGTTCAAAAGGCTAAGTCTTGGTCCAGTGCGATTTTCGTACTCTGTGATACAGCATCAAACCGAGTTACACAGGTTGTTCCATGGGTGACCTTGCAATTGGAATTCTCAAGAGATCTGCTCAGCAGCAAATCTACTTCTAATCCAAACTTATGCTATTTTTCTTTTAGACCAGCAATACTAAAGAGTAAAACAAAACAAATGTATAGAAATTTCGCCAGTTAAGAAGAAATAAAATGCTTTTTTGTTTGGTGTTCCCCCCCGGTAAAATTGCGTGTTTTAGGCGGTTCTCAAGTCAGATCTTCAATCTGTTGCTATCTCAGAAATGGACAATTGGAAGCTTTAATAGAGCAACAAGCATGGATAATTCCAGTTCTGGAGTCCCCAACACAAGAGAGACATGGGCCAGTTAGAACAAGTCCAGAGAAGGCCACGAGGATGATCCGTGGGCTGGAGCACCTCTCCTATGAGGACAGGCTGAAAGAGTTGGGGCTGTTCAGCCTGGAAAAGAGAAGGCTCAGGGGAGATCTTATAGTGGCTTCCAGTACCTGAAGGGGCTACAAGAAAGCTGGGGAGGGATTTTTCATAAGGACAGTTCGTGACAGAACAAGGGGAAATGGCTCTAAACTGGAAGAGGGTAGGTTTAGATTGGATATTAGGAAGAAATTCTTCACTGTGAGAGTGGTCAGACACTGGAACAGGTTTCCCAGAGAAGCTGTGGATGCCCCTCCCTGGAAGCGTTCAAGACCAGGTTGGGTGAGGCTTTGAGCAACCTGGTCTAGTGAGGGGTGTCCCCACCATGGCAGGGGGGTTGGAATTAGATGATCTTTAAGATCCCTTCCAACCCAAACCATTCTATGATTCTATGAATAAAACCCAAAACAAACAGGAGCTGAAGGATTGTGCGTGAGATATGGAAAATTTGGTAACTGTTAATGCTCTCTAAGGGTGACATCTGTGAAAAGTTAACCTTGGATGGTGATGTGGAAGTCTAGACAGGATAAGCAATTCCAGGACTGTGATTGCATACAGAGGCTTTCAGGATCTTAAAAATGTACCTTGCCTAAGTTAATTTATACAGTGACTTAAAATAGCCCATTCAGAACCGAACCTAAAAGAAAGCTGATTATTTAATACTGGCACTTGCAAGCTTAATAGAAATTTCAAGTGAAAAATGATTTCATATGTACTATAAGTGATCTTGCAAATCCATAATAATTATCCTTTCCTTTTCTTTGTTGATTTACAGCTGCTGTTGGCTTTCTGGCAGTTTCCAGTGTCATTACCATGTCAGCCCCTTTCTTTCTGGGGAAAGTCATTGACATTATTTATACAAACCCTAGTGAAGACTTCACTGACAGCCTGACCAGCCTGTGTGCCTTGCTGAGTGGAATCTTTTTATGTGGTGCTGCTGCTAATGCTACTCGTGTCTACCTCATGCAGACTGCAGGTAAAAACAGAAGCAAAAAGTAGTACTGACAGTCATCTTTTTTTCACAGAGTCAGGATATCTAATGATCTGAAATAAATTCTTGGCACTGGCTAAGAGATCCTCTTGGAATCAGTAGGTTTTTTTACCAGATCAAAGGTAAATTAATAGTGCAAAGATAAGTATGCTGGAATAGCTCTTCATTTTTATTTACTGTTACATGACATCTTAAAGCTCACTCTCTTCTGGTTTATTAAAACTCTCTAATGTGACTTGTTCAGTGCTGCATAATCCTGTGATTTTTATATTGTTGGAGTCTGTGTAAAGTCTTGTGTGCCATGCTTGACTGGCTTCTGTTTCTGACAGGACAAAGAATTGTGAAACATTTGAGAACGACCATGTTCTCTTCTATTCTGAAGCAAGAAATGGCTTTCTTTGACAAGACCAGAACAGGAGAGCTGATAAACCGCTTATCTTCAGATACAGCCCTCTTGGGCCGCTCAGTGACTGAAAACCTTTCAGATGGGCTCAGAGCAGGAGCACAAGCATCTGTTGGGGTTGGAATGATGGTATGGTGGTCTCTTCCTTGCTTGTCACTTGTAGTTTCAAGTTTGTTTCAGTTCTGTCAGGTAATAAGTGAGTGTGATTCTGTCCAGAAACTGTTGTGTGTTCTTGGATACAAGTGTATTTCACTGGTTATCTGCAGTAACTGTTAAGTATTACATTGCAATGGATGATGTGCCTGTAAGCCACTTGATGTTTACTCAAAAGCCAAAATACAGAGAATGAGGGTTTGAAATCAACTACTGCCCAAATTTATCAAGCAAAGTACAGGAGGCAAATAACTTTATTCTTATTAAAGATTTTAAAATCAGTGACAGCGTTCCCATCACTGTAGGTAAAATAGGGTGTGAGTGGCCTGATGTAAAAATAATTGAATTGAGTTTATTCTGGCTAAAGCCTAGGTGAGCAAAAGCAGCACTGAGTATCAAATTGCTGCTGAGGATTTTTACAAGTGGTAGTCTTTCTGCTTTAGTCTGTCAGTAAAGAGTATATTTAGATAGGAATCGTGTTAATGAAGGCTTCAGTGTAGTGCATCAGTTAATATTCCTTGGTGGTCAGCTGGTTTACATAAAAATCTGACTTCGCTTGGTGCTTTCTTTGGCATTAATTTTGTTATGTTTATCTGATAAAAGATACATTGGTGGCAATTATCTTAAATTAAAGTATGGTAATTTCTGCTATCTATCTGGAGTTAAAAACAGATAGGAAAAAGTCTCCTCATAAAAATAAACTTCCAAGAATGACGTTATTACAATCTGTTAAGAGTTTCCACTATGAAGCTTTAAAGCTTTAATACTTCGTCACTGATAAGAATTATGCATTTTTGTATTTATCGAAGCAATTAGAGCCTAAGGTTTTATGTTACCATAGATTAACTGGAATAACTTTATGTAAGGCATCCTGCTCAAAAATGCTGCCATGATGCAATGTTAAAAGGTGAACAATAAAAGCTTGCCCAGAAAGAAGAGATTACTATGAAATAAAGTCTGTCCGTTAAGTAAATGTGGGCTTGTGGACTTTTTCTGGAGATTTTTCTGTTTTGAATACAGAGAGCAAGATGAAGTGGAAACACATTAAAGCTAATTTCAATAAATCTTATGAAAAGAATCTATTTAGGAGCTTTGATGATGATTGTTGTTATGAGGGATAAGGTTTTGCAGCAGTCAATTAAATCCCTTATTCCAGGTTATGAGCGTCCGTGGGTGTTAGGGAACGCTGGTGACTCCATCTGTTCGTTAGTTACCTGGAAGTACCGTATGATATTTCTCCAGTCAAACTTTTGTATTACACCATCTATTTAAAAGTTGTGAAAGCGCTTTAGAAACTATATAATAGCTTATGTCTTTCAGCATCCCCAAGAGATTTCCTGGTAGGCCTGTTTACTGGCAGGTTCAGATACTTGGCTAAGACCACACAGTGAACCAGTGAGAAAGCTAGAAATTAAATCCAGGCCCCTTTGCTTATAATCCTTTGTTCTAACTGTGGGATACATTCCCCAAATGCTGTGGAGGAATGGATGTTTTGCCTGGAAGAAATAAAACATGATAAATGAAAGCATGGCAGCACTAAATTACAATCCTACTAGTTTTAGAAAACTCTAGTGAGGGAACTTGCACTTGAGTACTCCAGTGGGCTGTTTTTAATCTGAATGCTAACCCCTGACACATACCTTTTTCTTCTAGTTCTTTGTGTCTCCTAGCCTTGCTGCATTTGTTCTGAGCGTTGTGCCACCCTTGGCTGTCCTGGCTGTGATTTATGGAAGATACTTGCGAAAGCTTACTAAAATGACCCAAGATTCTCTTGCAGAAGCAACACAGGTAATCTCTTAACAGACAATTAGTCGTTAACTTCAGAATTGCTCTAGTGTATTTAGGTTAATATCTCTGAAGTTACAGATCTTCTGAAGATAATTGTACTGTTCATTGCCCTAAGCCATGCTGAGCCTGTAGTTCTGCACCTGAACAGTATGAAAGGTAAACTTCAGTAGCACTTATTCATAGAGCTCAAAAACAACCAAGCTTTGTAAAGAGCTGTCCACAGCAATATAATGTGGGGGTACCAGGCCTTTAGAATTTGGAAATGTAGGGAAGGATAAGGAGATTATTCTTTAGCTGTGTGAGAGTATTAAAAAAATCAGCCTATGAAGTCCTGTGTAATTAGGTACCTGGATTTGAAAAACACTTTCCTTCAACTATAGTTATGAGTTTGAAGCCATCAGAAGCATCCTAGTTGGAACCATCTTTTAAGGAAACTTTGCAAGCAAGTCCTTCTCTGGAACGAATCCTTGATGTTTGACTTTTTTGACAGCTCTTTAATGTTTATGAGGCTTGACATTTTTTAAACTTGTCTGGGTATCTCGGCACATACCCAGATATTTGGGAGGAAAGTAGAGGAAGCTGGTGTTTCTAAAGAGACTGTTGTAGAGGAGAGGCTGTTGTTCATTGTGTTTGCAGACTGCACTGAAATATTGCAAAGCACTATCAGAGAAATAGTAACGATTGTGACCTTTTTCTCAGAGGCTGAGGGTGAGGAAACATCATTAAAATGCTTAGAAATATAATTAGGAAAGACTTAGTTAAAATAGCCACAGTTGTTGGCTGTTTGAAGCTTGTGATGTCCTATATAAGACTTAGGTAAACTGACTGTGCAGAAGGAAGATTAGCCCTTTTCTGTTTATCTTCTTCAACCTGTGTTGAAGGGAAGCTCGTGCCTTTGTAAACCAGGTGTGGGACTTTGCATGAACAAGCAATTTTAGTGTTCTATTCAAATTTTCAGGTTAAATGGGGGATGGAGGAAGGAGAATTATATTTTTATATCGTATTTCTACTCACAAAAGGAGGCCTTATTTTTTGTAAGACCATCACAGTGTCTGTTAACAACTTTGTCTAATTGGTTACAATTGAGGTAATTTTAGAATTAATACTTTGCTGTTTAGAATTTAAAATAAAATACTGAGTTGAAATGGGACATTAGTAGTTGAGCTAAATTAATTCCCAGTGTTGCTTTGATCAAAGGATTGGAATTGTTTCAGGAAATAACTGCAGTCTTTCTTGCATGATTTAGTGTAGAATAGAATATTCTTTATTTTTTCCCTCCCCACCCTGTTATTGCAAGTTATTGTGATTAGTAATTTTCTTATGTATGTTGTTCACATCAAATTAAGGGATTTTTTTTAACCCTGCTTTTATGTTTTTCTTCCTCTACTGGCACTTAAGTCAAGGCAATCTTGAAGTTCTTTTTAAACTGCCTGGGCATGCAGTTTACTCTTAATTTAATACAATTTTAAGAAAAAAAGGGGGTGGAGGTAGGAGGAGGGCATGAGAAATTTTCCAGTGGTATTCAAAAGAATGTATTTGAAGATTAGTGTAGTGATAGTGGTTTAACTTTCAAATGTTCTGTAATATGAACATTCCAAATTGTGTGTATGTGTGTATTTGTTTTGTTCTTTGCTTTAATGTAGTTAGCTGAAGAGCGTATTGGAAACATAAGAACAGTTCGAGCTTTTGGGCAAGAAGTGGCTGAAATGGAGAAGTATACAAATAAAGTTGATTATGTGCTGCAGCTGGCTAAAAAAGAGGCACTAGCTCGGGCAGGCTTCTTTGGAGCAGTAAGTATATTTTGATGAAAGTAAACCAACCACGTTATGCCAAGTGTCAATTATTTTACAGTTCATGAGGGTGCTTATAAATCTGCAAATAAATAAATTGCGTGTAAGTTGAACCTACGTAAAACTGTGGGAAAACTGGACTTAAATCATTCTAAATTGCTGTGAAACTGCACTTCAAGATAAAACCAGTTTAAGCTTCTATTTCTGCCCCACACCCCGTAGCTTGGTACTGTTTATCTGAGGCCATACCTCCTATTCAGGGAACTAAACCAGTGGAAACTTTCCCTCACCCACCCTCAGCGTTTCACAGGTTTGGCTTCCTGATGAGGTGTGCAATCATGCAGAGGAAGCTGGGGAGAGCACAGGTCAGGCGGGAGGGTGGGATTGCATTTTTCCATAACAGCTAGGAGTGAGTTTGCTTAAAGAGTATTCTAAAACTGCAACATAACTGCAGACTATCAACTCTTCTCCTTTACTGATGGTTGAGAATAATACTGGGTGTTCCTTTCAGTCTTGGAAAAAAAACCAACCCAAAACAAAATGAAAAAGTGCTCCTTGCTTTTTGAATGGTTGTTGGATAGTGCTGTGCAGTGCCACTGCATTTCTGGCTGTTGGCTTGGTTTGCTTTAGAATTGGTTTTGTTCAGATTTAACTTAGTCCTCTAAAAATCTAGATACCCATAGTATGGAAATTCCTTTATTAGAAGGAAAATTCTGAAACATTTTAGAGGATGAAATTTAAGATGCATGTGACAAAATCTGCTTTTTCCTCTTTTTCCTTAGACTGGACTTTCTGGAAACTTAATTGTCCTATCAGTCTTATACAAAGGAGGATTACTAATGGGCAGTGCCTACATGACAGTTGGTGAACTCTCATCTTTCCTAATGTATGCTTTCTGGGTTGGAGTAAGCATTGGAGGTATGGAATGAGAAATTAGATTTTCTCCACTTCAAAGCATTACAGTCAGTATGGGGGCAGGAGGGAAGAAGCTCTTAAAAGATCCAGCTTTCTTGAAAAGTGTCTTCCCAGTGATCTTCCCAAGAAGCAAAACCAGGACAATCATACATTTTAATTTTTTTTCTGAAGAGTTAATGAAAATAATCATTTATAACCTAACACAAGCCTTCCATTTTCCCAAAGGAATACAGAGGTTATTTTTTCAGTGTGTGTGTGTGTGACAGATACATATTACTTTAATTTTCTTTGGGACTAAATTAAGATATTTGGTATATTGTGTAAAGAAATAATACTGGTATTATATTTTTAACAAAATATGTGGGTCTGTATTAAACATTTTATATTTAGAAAGGCATGTACAATTTAGCTCTAATTCAGTATAGAGTGTCTTGAGCTGGAAGAGTAAACAAGGTGCCAGCAGAACACTACACTCTGGTGCTAACCTTTTGTTTTTTCTTACTGACTGACTCCTCCTTGAAGCTCAGACTCTGTAATCTACTGGCCCAGAAACAAACTGATCATCTTTTTGACAGAGCAGTCTTCACTACTACATACAGGCAAAAATGAAGATAAGGTACTTTGAAGTTTGGCAGCTGACTGGAAGGGTTCTTTAAAATGAGTCTGTTACTCCTGATAGACTGTCAGGGCAGTGCAGCTCATCTCTGCTCTTCTAAGACTAAGCCTGATATCGTGGGAAGCACAAAGATGTGCCTGAGGGCAAAATTCACAAAACCTGCTTCCTTGAATATAAAAATTCCAGTGGCACCCATTCCAACTACCAAAACCCTTTCTTCTCTGCTTAAATAATCCAAGTTTGGTCAGCAGACAGATACCTGGCACTTTGAAAACATAAGACATTAATTTAATGTTAAACAAATGAAAAGTAAGGTTAGAAGCATTGATAAAATGTCACCGAATGAACTTCTATTTGCTATAAAACCAGCTTTTTGAATTATCAAATACTTAAGACTATTGAATAACACAGTTCTGCACAGAGCCCATTCTCATGAGGAGTCTGAAGTAAAGGTGTCTTGCCTCTAGAGGCCTGCATTCCTTGATGCCAACAAGGCATATAAATCTTTGAAGTGCTAAATCTGCTCGGTATATGTCATCATCAGTATATGTTGGAATTCATGCAATGAACTGTGAAGTTCACTGCATAATTTGGGACTTTATCCCTTTTTGTTTTAACAGTTTGCTGTGTTTTCTACCAAACACTGAACACGGGTTATGAACATTAAAACCATTTTCTAATTAATATTTCTTGTCCAAATTATATAATGCTTTTTTTATGAGGGGTTGTGAATTTACAAACCTCAGCGTTTCAGTTTCAGGGTGCTCTGGGAGGCTCATGCCTTCTCCCCTGTGCCCTGCTCTAGGATGTAGATGATTTGGTTCTTTTTCCAAGCAGACAGCTTCTCACCATGGCTAGTGCCTTGTGTTGCAAGCTTTCAGCAGTCCTCAGCAGCAGCATGACGAAATGCCCTGCCTACACTTGCAGAGTCATGACCTTGTACTGGGCCTGTTGCTCTGCAAGAATAAACCAGTAAACTTATTTTAGTACACCTTGGGTTTCCTGCCCTCCTGAATGAAATCACTCTTAACACTATATGCATTTTAAGGTGGAAGTGGTTTATTCTGTATGTTTACTCTGTTGGAATTCTGAGATTTTTAAATTGGTTGCTCTTATTTTGAAAGACACACAAAAATGAAGAAATAATACATTTTATATTTATGTCTTACTCCTTTTTTGGTTCAAGGTTGGTTTCTGTGTTTATTTCACCTGGAAAGCCCTTCAGCCAGGCCCGCTCCAAGATGACTTACACAATTGCTAAGAGCTGGGACCCAGTATTATATACAGGCCTTGTCCTTAGCTTTTGCTTTCTCCAGTAATGTTTGAAGCATGCTGACTTGGGAGACATATTTCTTTACATTGTCCATTCTCAACATAGCTTCTCAAGTGTCAGTTCAGCCTTGGGTTTTGTGCTGGCCCTCCCCTGTGGCTTACTCAGCCAGGTTCCCCTGTAGTGGTGTAACCCTGTCTGACAAAGTAGGGTGTTCCGAGTGCTCTGTTCTACTGAATGATTTTGAAAATATAGCTGCTATTATAACAGATAAATGCAAAGCTATTTATCTGTTCTTCCTGATGGATGAATGAAAAAGTGTTGCTTTGCTTTTGAGTATACACAAGCTTAAGTGTATTAATGTTATCTTCTTTTTTCTTCCTAATGATTTGTTTTACAGATATAAATAAGAATGCTGAATAATGGCTATTGGTAGCTCTCAAGTGAGACTAGATTTAAGTCAGCATGTTTGATAGTGTGCTGAAATAGAAGATCCCCTACACATCTGATGCTTCAGTGCTGGTGATGAAAAGTATAATGCAAATTTTATGTCTTCCATTCCATATGGATGCTTAATACTGTTCCGCTTTTTGTTTAGGTCTAAGTTCCTTTTATTCTGAGCTCATGAAAGGATTAGGTGCTGGTGGACGTCTATGGGAACTTATGGAAAGGAAGCCCCAACTACCATTTAATGGTGGGTCCTTGTTTTGTTACTGTTCATAGGTTGATTTTTCTCTTATTGGTCACCAGTACTTCATAAGGATGTGTGTAATACTTAAAGGTAGTACTGACTTACATTCTTTTGAAAGAAGCTAGATACAGTGGTAATTCTTCTGACTTTTCCTAACTGTGAAACAGATGATGAAAATTTCCTTTAATCAGTAATTTTAGAAGTTGAAAACTTGGTGGGTTTTTCCTGTAATTAATTCAGAATATGCTTTTAAATATATCCGTTTGAAAGTTACGTGACTGAGCATATGCTCATTTCTGGCTTCTTGGAATATTTCTTTGCTGTCATCACCACTTTCTCTTGAATCAGCTTTAGAGTGTAAAGAGTGGAAGGAAGAAAAAGGAGGGGAGGGAGGAGCTCTGAGATGGCTGTATCTCATATTTCCACTGAAAGGTTTACCATGCTCATCACTAATAGCTAAGAAATTAGCAGTCTGAAAAGAGAAGCCTTTGAAACCAGGTGTTCATTAAGAATATCTCAAGCTTAAACGGTTCATGCTGATCCAATGAAAACAGTTCCTTAGTAAGACATGTTGATTTGAAACCTAACTTGCAAGCACAGACAGTTTAAGGCCTTTCAGCAGCACATGACAAACTGAATTTTTGAGTTCCTTCTGCCATAGGAGTCGGGGACGGAGGCATGACTGGGGAATGAAAGGAAGGAAGAGTTGGAGAGTCCTTGGGGAGGGTGTGGATGTGCAGGGACAGTAGGTGTTGCTTTTGGAATGATTTGCAGCTCTCTCCTCACAGAAGTACAACTCACATTTCACCCTTCTTTAGAGGGGCAAAGGGCCTCTCTAGCACATGGCTTACCTAATTTACCTGTGGGTAAGGGAGCTATGTGCCTTCTGCTGCATGAGCAGCCTGCCATACTAGGCAGTCTCCTAGTCTGAAGTGTGGAGTGTTGGACCTGGTAAGATGGACATAATGTTTTTCATATAGCTGCAATGTCCTGAGGATCTGAACAAGGAGGTTTTGAAGGGGAGCTAATCCTGTATTAATCAAGTTTGACAGTGTTGGAAGTGTGAGGAGAACCAAGAAATTTTTGTGGCAAATCATTCACATCTGATTTCTTTTGATGGGCTGCTTCAGGCCTAAGTACAGGTTTGTCAGTTTGAAATCGCATCTGTTTTTATCAGTATGTTTATAGAACCTTTGAGAGGTGTTAGATTTTTATGGAAGTTTCCTTTTTGTGGAAGCTTGCTGATGTAGCAGTCAAATCCCAAAAAGAAGATATAACTTCATCTATAAATCTGCCTTTTAAAAAAGTATTTAAATGCAGTAACATTTAAAAAAAAGGTAAAAAATTAGTAAGTATTAAAATTATATTTAATAGTGTTTATTTCTTGAAATAATATAATTAAATATTTTAAGAATATTTAATAATATTTAAATATAATAAATAAAAATACATTGTCAGCAACAGCTTATTTACAGCTTTATTGTTCAGAAGCTAGACAACGCCTTCCAGTACTGAATATATTTTGTATAAACAGCATTTGCCCGTATCCATCCAAGTAGTTCAGTGAGCTGCTTGTAGAAGATCCTTTCTGTCTGAATTGCTGTTTTATTTAATTAGCTGCATCCCACTAAGCAAAAGTCGTATATGAGTGTTCACCAGCACTGTGTGTGGTTAAGAAATGCAATATAGCAGAATCCAGGTGAGCTATCAACACTAGTTTCTCTCTGAGCTTTATATGGTTCTCTGATTTGGAAACTTTGTAGGGACTGCTCTAAGACAAAGGGTCAGAAAAGAACATCCAACAGGCCTAACACAGTTTTTGAGTGAGCTCTGGTTTTAAGGAATCACAGAATACCAGGTTGGAAGGGACCTCAAGGATCATCTGGTCCAACCTTTCTTGGCAAATGCACAGTCTAGACAAGACGGCCCAGTGCCCTGTCCAGCCAATCCTTAAAAGTGTCCAGTGTTGGGGAATCCACCGCTTCCCTGGGGAGATTATTCCAGTGGATGATTGTCCTCAATGTGAAAAATTTTCCTCTTGGGGCCAATCAGAATCCCCCCAGGAGTAACTTGTACCCATTACCCCTCCTCTTCTCCATGTGACTCCTTGTCCAAAGGGAGTCTCCATCTCTTTGTAGCCACCCTTTAAATGCTGGAACATGGTGATAAGGTCTCCCCTAAGCCTTCTTTTCTCAAGGCTGAACAAACCCAGATCTCTCAGCCTTTCCTCACCTGGCAGGCTTCCCAGTCCTTTCATCATCTTTGTGGCCCTTCTCTGGACCTTCTCCAGCCTGTCTGTATCTTCTTGTATAGCAGGGACCAAAACTGAACAGAGTGTTCCAGGTGTGGCCTGACAAGTGCTGAGTAGAGTGGGATGATGACTTCTTTATCTCTGCAGGTGATGCCCTTGTTGATGCAACCCAGCATCCTGCTGGCTTTCTTTGCTGCAGCAGCATAGAAAGAATTGGAGTTTTGTCTTTTGAGTTGGTTACTGCACAGCAGTTCTTTTGAAACGCTGTGCTTTGAATTTCTGTTCTGCTTCTGTCTCCCTGCACTGGAATTCTTCAAGTTCTTAATCTGATGGAAACCAAGTCACAGTCTGGCCTCTGTCTCAGTTTTCTTCACAGCTGCAAGCCTGTCTGTATGATGCTTTTCAATGTGCATAGACTTTACTTAGGCAGTGAAAAGCAATATTGTCTCCGATGGATAGAGGCAGATGTAGAGTAGCAGCCAGAATAGCAGCCATTTATGCAAAAGGTAAGCACCAACTGGCTGATACAGAGACAGCTACACGCTCTTGTCCTTAGCAGTTAAACTGGCTTAAACTTCCTGCCATGACATCCAGTGCCACACTGCAGTTTGCAATGCCCTTCATAGACCTAGTGCAACTGTTGATTTCCTCTTCATTTGGATTTGATTTTTTTTTTGTAATCTGGATTATTTCAGTGGTCTTCATCCTTACAGTGGTACTAGTGCAGAGTAAGCAGTCATATTGGGTCAGAAGTTGTCTTTCCCACTGCAGATATTGCATTGTTTAATCCCACCAATAGTGATATCCAGAAAACAATATTTATTTTATAGATGAAACATAAATTGGACAAAGTTTCAGATGTCTATGTAGCATAGGCTTACAGAAATCTTCTTTTAACTTTCAGTATAAACTAAATACATAGGAAAGGATATAAACATTTGTCCTAAAACCCAATTATAACTGATTTCTGGCTCATCAGACAGTAAAACCAGGAGACTATTTCTCTACTGTCCAAACCTACCTGAAACATCTACTCTCTTGGCTTCTTATGTTTTATTTTCACAGAACTTCAGCTGTTGTTGGCAACAACAAATATCTCGGGAACAAATTATTATGTCTTTTTTTCCTGTATCTAGAATCCAAACAAGAAACAAGAACAATCTTGTATTTAGCTTTTTTTACAGGAATATATAGAGGAAGGACTTGTGGTACCAGACTTCCTGTATTGCAGTAGATGTCAGTGTTTCAGGCCATGCAATAGACTGTGCAATAACTGAAACTGAGAATAAAGATAAGCGATTACTTGTTACTTTGGTAACAGTAAGGATTATGCTGCTAGCACAGGATTTAGCAAATAGATTTGTTTTCCCAAAGAGAGGTTTACAGACCATTGTGCTTTTACCTAACAAAGGAGTTACACTGTGTATGTCCATGGATTAAAGTCAAGGAAGGAGTCTGAAATTGTATGCTCTTGCATTTGCCATTTTTGTGCTACTACCATTAAACTGGAAAACTGGAGAAGAGGAGGGAATCTGGGAAAAAGAAAAGCAAAAAAAATTATTATTTGCTCTAGAAACAGCAGGACTAGTGAAATCTTGATGGCTGCTGCTGGGTGTCCGTGTTTCCTGTCCACAGTTACTGTTTAACCAAACGGGGACATGTGCTCCCATGTGCTGTGGCTAGTTGAGGGTTACTTGTGTGCCGTGTCTGAAAAGAATTAAGGGGGTTGAGTTGCATGTCTTTAGCATGAATGATCACTTGTGTGCCGTGTCTGAAAAGAATTAAGGGGGTTGAGTTGCATGTCTTTAGCATGAACGAGCGCTGCTCGGGTGCTGCTCTGGTGCTGCCAGTTTTCACAATACTGGTAGGAGCTTTGTCAGTGAGACTCTGTCCTTTGGGAATGCAGAACCACTGTCCAGTGAGTTAACTATGTATGGATATGTGTAGCTGGGATTTAACAGGGCTTGAATAAATTGTGTTTCTTTGTCTTACCTATTTATATGCTTTTTTCTAGTACTGATATTCTCTTAAGATAATTGTTTAAATCAAATGCTGCACTCCAGGAAGAAGCTGGTGTTATTCAGCTTTGGCAATCATTCCTTCATGATGGTTTGTTATGGTATTTCACAAACTGAATTTTTAGTTTCAGTGAACTGTTGCCTAAGAGTTGTGCCTCTGACTGGTCTTTGAATACACTCTTGTCCTGAATTTATTAAATATATTTTCCGCTTAAAAAAAAATAAATCTAAAAAATGGCCATTAATGAAACAAACCTAGCAGCAGCTTTATTCCAGTGACAGCTTTTGCTTAAAAGCTACCCAGTTAGTAGTGGAGAGGGAACTGCTCTTATCCAAAGGGAAGGGTGTTTCAGGTGACTTGTGTGGCTCGGTGAAAGGGCAGTAAGTGATTTGCAATGTTTATCTTCTAGCATGTGTTCTATGGCAACGGGACTTTGGCCCTCGACAATGCCATTTTATTTCATTGCTCCTAATTGACAAATTTTTTATAATATGTTTAAAAATTCTGCTAATTCTACTAGAAGTGAACAACTAGTTAGTTGTTAGTATTAGTAAGATGCAAATTCTCTCTCTTGCTGTATGTAGCCTACAGGTTCACTGCTAGTCAGCAACCTGAAGTTGCATTCAGGAATGAGTGGTGAACCACACTGATTCAGTCATGGCTGAAATATAACCCCTGTGGTCCTGCATTGTGGCTTGCAGCCATCCCTAGATTAAGCATGGAGATAGATATTTCTCTTGGGTGTCTGTACATCAAGTTGTAGGAGGGCTGAGCTGATTTTTGTTTCTGTTCATGTTTCTGTATTTTCTTCTTTGTCATACAGAGGGAATCACATTAGGCAAAGACACATTCAGAGGTGCTTTGGAATTCAAAGATGTTGAGTTTGCATATCCAACACGTCCAGAAACATCAATTTTCAAAGATTTTAGCCTTTCCATTCCAGCTGGCTCTGTTATGGCTCTGGTTGGCCCAAGTGGTACAGGGAAATCGACTATTGTATCCCTTCTGCTGAGGCTGTATGATCCTACCTCAGGTATGTTTTATGTGTTGCTCTCATTCGTGACAACTGATGCTTTGCATCTCAGATACACCTTATAAACAGTCAGAGTTCCTGCGCTTGAGGTCCCGATGTGAGTATTCCACTGATGCACCGTGCTTCCCTCTGGGGTGTGTGGTTACCTTGTGGTGATGCCTGCATAGCTTTGCATTTCTCATCCCCCAGTATGTGATTCCTCAGGGGTCGTCGTTCTCAGCTGTTCTTTCTGCCTCTTTCCAGTACTTGTCAAACACACCTGACTTTACTGTTTCTTAATTTAAGGTGCTATCACTGTTGATGGTTTTGATATCCGTCAGTTAAATCCACTGTGGCTCAGGACACAGATTGGAACAGTGAGTCAGGTAAGGGAGAAAAAAAAAATTGTAAGTGAATGAAATAATTCTGTGTGATCAACTAGCTGTGCCTCACTTTTCTTCTTCTTAAAACTATATAATCTTGCTTCTCAGTGAAATCCTTCCATCTCACTATAACTGCTGTTGTGCATGCTTTGTTCTAAAAATAAGTATTCGGAGCTAGTCCCATTATTCTGTAATCTGTTTTTTTAAATAATCAGAGATTCAAAGTTTTAGCTTAGAAGAAAAGTGTGCATGTGGAGACAGGAAACTACATTGTTGCAAATTGTATAGATATGACCATCTTGATGTTTGCTGTGATTTGTTGAAGAAAGTAACACAGAGCTTAACATTTAATCACATTTGGTATTAATGGAAGTTACACAATCATATTTTACACAACTGTTTGAAAACTGACCTTCTGTGCTCTGTGTTGTTTCCATGCAAACACAATTCCATTAGGAAAGCATGAAAATACAGCACTGTTGCCACTTATTCTTGTAGTGCCCCCTCCCTAGCAACCCCCAAACTCTGGGAGTACAGAGTTTGTTCAATAGTCTCTTAAAAATAAACTGTTTGACCAATTAATGAAAATATATATGTTCCTTCCCTCGTCTCCCCGGATGCTTCACAGTGCAATTAACTGTTAGGTTGATGTCCTGCTTAAAAGCATAAGGATAACAGGGTATAAGTTGCATTTCAAAACATCTGCTTTATGTAATAATGCCACCAAAGCTTTTGTGCAAAAATGATTTTCCTGTGGGCACATTAGCACTTTTCTTTTTGAATGTATGTATTCCACATGAGTTAGCAGTAGGAGATTCATACTCGTGTTTGTACTATAGCGTGTCTCTGTTTTATAAAGGGGAGATTTACCTTGTTTCAGACATTCTCCCACTGTGTATCACTTGTCCTATCTGCCAGTCCTCTTCTCTGTTTTAGGCTTTAATATAAATTAAATGCACAAAATGCCATGAAACCCGTGTAGAAGTTAAGAATCATCATTGTTGTAAATGATGATATGTAGTAAAGTACAAAGGGAAGTTCTCTGATGTTTGGACGAATAGCTCTTTCTGAACTCTCCCTCACATATTAGGAATTGAGGTTTCTGTTGTGTTTCATCAGTTAAAAAAGCAACTTGATTTTTAATTGTTTTTCACTGCCGATTTTGGTGTTAGGAGAAGTTTTTTCATTTGTTTGTTTTTAATTCAATTAACTCTAGCTTACATATTCTTTTGTATGGATACAAAATAAATTAATGCTGGGTCTTGTAAGTGGGATTTATGTTATTTGAGATATAGACAATACATGTGTGTAATTACAGATCTACTATATAACTTATGTTTTTTAATTTATCAGGAGCCGATTCTGTTTTCCTGTTCTATTGCTGAAAATATTGCCTACGGTGCAGAGGATCCTTCTACTGTGACTGCAGAGCAGATTCAGAAAGTTGCTGAAATAGCTAATGCTGCTAGTTTTATCAGAGATTTTCCAAAAGAGTTTGACACCGTAGTTGGAGAGAAAGGCATTTTGCTTTCAGGTACATCTTTATATTGCTTATTTTAAAAATCCTGATCCTAGAGAGTGAAGTAATTTTTTTTTTTTTTATTACCAGTTTTTTCTTGTGTTATAGCCTGCTGTAAGTATTAAAAAATCCCTCCTTCATCTCCATTCCCCAACTAAAGTACATGTGCTTAATTCTGCTCAGCTCAGGCATTCAATTGAAGTTACTTCACATCTGGTTTCCTATTTCAATTTACTGAGCTTTTTCCCCCAGGTGGACAGAAGCAACGAATTGCAATAGCTCGAGCTCTGCTTAAGGTAAGCCCGCACCCAAATAGCTTTGTAGGGAGGCAGGAAAGGTTAAAAAGGAGGAGGTTTTTTAAAATAAAATTATATCTTTTACATTAATGAGGAAGTTTGAAAGGGCTGAGTGGTTTAACTAAAACCAATTTTCTTAGGTGTTTCCTCCTGTCTTTCAGTCATGTTTTTTGGTAGTCCTTGCCACGACTGACAGTAAATCATTGTATTAATGGCTCACTTTCGTAAGACCAGGTCAAGGATGAAGGAAGACCTTAAGAATGTGGTGCTAAAAAATTCATATATGATGCTTCTGTCTCTGTGTTCAGATCTCTGTCACTCATGGGTTGATTTTTCTGAGTTGCAGCTTACTAGCCCTGTAATGCCCTGTCTTGGCTTTGAGGGGACCTGATCTGGATTTGGGACAAGATACTGTTTCAGGCACAATGTTGTGTCATTTTTGTCTTCAGGGGTTGGCATGGGTCTAGCTTCAGGGCAGGCTCTGTGTTGCACAGATTTGAGGAGGACAGGGAGTTTGGTTCAGCCAGCCACGGTGCCTCACAGGGGAGCAGTTTGTGGCTGATGCTCAGCTGGAAGTTTTGAGCCTTGATGAACCCAGCTTAGACTGATGTTAAGGCACACAGGTCTCTGTAGCATCCTAGTGTGCCCGATTCTGGTAGATTACTGGGAATTTTTCATGAAACCAGTTCTGTCTTACCATGAATGCTGAAAAACTGATTGCATTTCCTGTCAAATATAGTTCATGGGAGTACAGACTTTATTTTTGGGGGGGTGGGGGGAAAGGTAAAAAAGAATGAGTAGTAGATACATATCTGTTTGGGGGTGCAGTGGAATCCCTTTTCTTCCAGATAAAGTCTGAAGCTTTTATTGTCAACTTCATCAAGCAATTTAGGATTATGTACTGTAATTCACAAGAGGCTTCTTAGGGATTTGAGTGCTGATGACTTTAAATTTTTTTTATTTAATTGCAAAGAGTTCTTAAATGCTGCTTAAGTACTAGATATATCTTTTGTGGGTGAAATACTGTTTGTTGGTAGGTTTCTGTTATTTTTTGCTACTAGACAGTCATATATAGCAGACTACAAGCAGAGAGTAGCTGAGCCTCTGTGAAAGATCCATGGAAGAGCAGTAAATAGGAAACTGAACTTTTCACCACAGTGCTGCCAAGTATGCATTAAAAATCAACTCCCACCTATAGTCTGTATCTCTCAGATAGTTTGCAAAATTTTAAGATGAAAGTGTGTTGCTTCTGTTTTGTCCTCTTACCATTCAGACTTCTTAAAAGTAATGCTTTAAATGACGCTCAATTCTTTTGATTAAATAAGTACACATACTTGGAGTTTCAAGCTGTATGAATCCTGTTCACTATTGATATCCATATTCAGATCTTGCCTAATTATCATTATAACCAATTTTACTTTCTTCTTCAGAATCCTAAAATTCTTCTGTTAGATGAAGCAACAAGGTAAGAAAGAAAAGAAATAGAAATAACTGCAAAAGTGAGATTTGGGAAGTCTTCTCCTTCCTTTCTTTCTTTCCTTCTTCTTTTTCCTTCTTCTTTTTCCTTCTTCTTTTTCCTTCTTCTTTTTCCTTCTTCTTTTTCCTTCTTCTTTTTCCTTCTTCTTTTTCCTTCTTCTTTTTCCTTCTTCTTTTTCCTTCTTCTTTTTCCTTCTTCCTAATTATCATTATAACCAATTTTACTTTCTTCTTCAGAATCCTAAAATTCTTCTGTTAGATGAAGCAACAAGGTAAGAAAGAAAAGAAATAGAAATAACTGCAAAAGTGAGATTTGGGAAGTCTTCTCCTTCCTTTCTTTCTTTCCTTCTTCTTTTTCCTTCTTCTTTTTCCTTCTTCTTTTTCCTTCTTCTTTTTCCTTCTTCTTTCCTGCTTCTCTGTATGCCCTTACATAAATTATCTAGCCCCTTATTTTTCCCTTCCCACAAAAAGAACGTGCTTTCTAGAATGTGTGAATTGGTCAGGAGATCTGTGATAAAAGCTTGTTTATGCAAAGTGGAAAGGATAGCTGGTACACTGGGGTGAATTCTTTCATGGCGTTAAATTTGTAATATGTAACTTGATCTTGAAACATCTACTTAAAGTTTTTTGTATCTTTAATTTAAATGAAGATCTTAGTGTAAAAGAGAGATTATTATGCTGCACTAGAATTTAGATTTTTTTTCCACTGAATTAATTTAGTGTTATTTATTCATGCATATTTTTGCATATGAGAATATGTAATGCCTACAACTTGGATGTGTGCACTAAGCATACTCACGAAAGTTTCCTGCAGTTCTGTTGGTTTATCTTTACCAACAATAGCAAGGGTTTACAGTTCTGGCAAAATAAGACTAATGCATACAAAACTAACCTGCCTTAAAATAACAAATATCCTCCTCTCTCCCCTCCCCACTTCCCATTTCTTCCTAGTGCTTTGGACGCTGAAAATGAGTATCTAGTGCAGGAAGCTCTGGACCGGCTGATGGAAGGGAGGACAGTCCTAATTATTGCTCATCGCCTGTCTACTATTCAGAATGCTGATTTTGTCGCTGTCCTTGGCCAGGGTAAAATTCTTGAATGTGGAAAACATGAGGAACTACTTGCAAATCCAAATGGACTTTTCAGGAAACTAATGCAGAAACAAGCTTTTCTTCAGAATAGCGATACTTTTGCATTAGATGTACAATCCACAGAAAAGGATGTATTAAAAGAAAATATATGAGGGAATGTATGAATAATGGAAGCTTACATACTACAAAGAATATAACTTATGTTTCAAGTTATGTGAAGTAAATGTTATATTTTTCCAGAATGTACAAAATATTCTTTTGAAACTGAAATGTGTTTAAACTTTTTATTGAAAGCTTTTTAATGATTATTGTAACTTTTTAAAATGTCTATCACATTGAGATAATTTCAGTGTATAGAATTTTCTGCTTTGTGTTATGTTAATTGAGACCATTTAGAATCTTGTTTGCTGTAATGCACTGTAGGATGATGTGCTGCATTCTCGAGTAAGTTCAGTATTTTAAGGGTAATTAAATGAGAATCTTATCATTTTCATATCATTGTCTCTTCCCTTTTCAAGGAACTCTTGCTTTCTGTGCTTGTCAGTAGCCTTAAAATGCTGGAATTCAAAAATGCATGACACTAAGGTGCTCTGAAAGTTCTGTCTGACTTCCACTGCACTGTCCTTCCAGTTACCGTTTGTTCTGAAATGGGAACGTTGATTATGATCACCCTCTACAGTTACTGTAGAGAACTGCATATGAGAACTCAGAGTATGGAAGCATGAGCTGGAGGAAAGTTTAAAAAAACCCCAACAAACCACACACACAAAAACCCCAAAACCAACAACAAAAGCAACCAAACCAAAAAACCTAACTGACTTTACCTAGGGACAAAGGAAGTGTATTAGTATATGAAGTCAGCATAGGAAAATCTAAAATTGGCATGCATTTTCTTCCCTTCTCTATTTTCCCAGTTCTTTAGTTTTGCTTCCCATCTAAGATGACACCCAAAAGAACATGCTCTTATATACGTAAGCTTCTGTCCCTTTTTAAGGCATATGCAAGTTTTTTATTGTTACGTAAAACATCATTCATAGAAATCCCAGGTTTTGTCTAACTACCTTGTTAGAGACAACTAGTAAACTACCTTCTCAAGGACAACTAGTAAAATAATAGCATTATGTTGATCAAAATAACTGCAGGAGGGGTACATTTGGCAGTAAAGAGTAGGCTTCATGTTTCGAATTTAAAAATCTCTTTCAACAGAATCTCTCTAGACTTTCTGAAGATGTAAAACCCCACAAAATAATTTTAAAAAGCTATAAAGTTTCCAGGTCACATTAAAAGTCATCTACACTAGGAAAACTTGTTGCTGGAAAACTTCATTGGCAATTGGTGAGATACCTAGTGCTGGGCAAGCTTGAAATGTTTATCTAATGTGCCATTAATGGCACTTTGTGGAACACAGCGAAAACACTGAAGAGTTTGCTGTGCTAAGGAGTCTCTTATGAAGAAGAAATAGTACTGATCTTTTACACACATCTCTGTTTAAACATCTGCATAGTCCCATAAGGCACATTGAGTTAAACAACTCATGAGAATTTTGTTTGCTCTGCAGATGATGGAATTTGTTGCTATCCTTTAAAACTAATTTTCTTTCTAAATAGGTAGGCAGTTATTTGTGGCTAGTCTACCCAAGCAGTATTTTCTACACTGTTTTTCAATCAATTGATCAATAAATAAAAATCAGAAGTAAAAAGATTATCAATCCTATCTATTTTGAAGTTGTGGCTCTAATATGTATTAAAGTCCACTGTTTCCCTTCTCTTAGTAAAGTGCTCACTAGGTCAGTACCATCAAAATTGCCCGCTGGACAGACATTCACCTTTCCATGTGAAAAACAAAGACCTGGTTAAGTCTCTAACCGATGTTAGCATAAACTAACTACTTCAGTGTCAAAAATGAGATTTAACAGTTGAGTTGTATCCTCTCTCCTGAAGATGGAGCTCTTCACACAGAGCTGGCACAGCAAAAGGAGTTGTGTAATTCCCTGAGAAGGTGTAGCAAAGTGCATACAGGATTCAATCGCAAAAAATGACTGCTCACACAGCGGCATCTTAAATAGTCTGGAAAGGAGATGTGAAGAGCATCTGTCAGTTTTTAAAATAATTTGAATGTCACCATCCCTGGATTTGGGGAAATGTGGATGGCAGCTTGAATTTTACTCAGTTTTTCCCCATTTTCGTGTTTCTGTGCATTTCCTGGTTTGGTTTTGTTTTTCTTGATGAAACAACAGTAACGTTATGATTTCGCTGCATGTACTGTAACAGAGAATGCTATTTATGGAAAGATACTACATTAATGTAACAGTATAGTGAAGCTCCACTAAATCTTCATATTTTGCTTTTCCTATAAAATCAAAGCAAAAGGGGATGGAATGAAGTTAAAAGACACAGCACTGAAACAGAGAGGTTCCTTGTACTGCAGTACTGCCAGATGAAGGGTCTCCAGTTTATCTCCTCCGCATTTCAGGTTCAGTCATACTGGACCTCAATCCACACAGAAAGCACAACTGCCACAACTCTTTTTAATAAAATAACTCATTTTTGTTAAATGATGGGAAATTTTTAAAGGTTCTATTTTTAGTTAATTTTATCTTAACTAATTAGCTCCACGGGCTGCCCAGGGAGGTTGTGGAGTCTCCTTCTCTGGAGACATTCAAGACCCACCTGGACGCCTTCCTGTGTGATCTCGTTTAGGTTCCTGCTCCAGCAGAAGGATTGGACTAGATGATCTTTTGAGGTCCCTTCCAATCCCTGACATTCTGTGATTCTGTGATAATATACACACAACTCAACTTCTTCCCCAAGTGGATGGTGCATACGTACCTTCTGAAAGCTCTTTTCTTCCACACAAACCAATGCAGTACAGTATTTCTTTCAAGGAGAAAATTTAGCTCCCTTTGAACAGTAAAATTAATTCTATACCACTGAATCGTCGTAGTGCATGATTGTTACTTAGCAGAGATGTAAAACATGCCAAGGTTTGCATGGAATATGTTTTGGGGTTTTTTTTATTATTCTTATTAGAAATCTGTGGGCAGGCACAGTTACAGCACAGGCTGTTTCAAAGACTGGGCAACTCCCTCAGTGGAATACGTGTCCTCCCAACAGCAGCTTGCAGGGGTCCTTCAGTGGCCGCTC